TAAACAAACATTTTCAATGCACATAAATAAGAAATTAGTTTTAGTTCACCTAATTTTTATGCAATTTCTACAACACTCATAGCTATCCTTCACCGATTGTCCAAAACAGATATCTCTAAACATATAAATAAATTTCATTAAAGATATACGTTTTCACAATCTCAAAATTGGAGTGATAATACATATCCAACTTCACGCTCATCATTATTTAGGGCTGTTCAAAAATCCGTTCAAACCGGTAATCCGGACCGAACCAGACCGAATTGTACGGTTTGGTTCGGTTCTATTAAGAATTGGTTCGGTTTCGGATTAAGAAATATGAGAACCGTAAAAACGGTTCGGTTAATGGATTTTATGAAAAAACCGCGGTTCGAACCGAACCGAACCGAATTTTAAAAGATATATATATATATATATAATATCAAGTTTTATTTTTATTAATTGGTTTTTTATAATTTTAATGATATTAGGATGATATAGATATGTAATATTAAGTAATGCCTTAATATTATTAGTTTTTATCATGAGTTAAATGTAATTAGTTTGAGTAATTATTTTGCTAATATTAACAATTTGTTTTTGTAAATAGAAATTTTTGGAATCGTAAACCAAACCGAAACCGAACCGTTTTTTCGGTTTGGTTCTGGTTCTGTTTTACAAGTGTAACGGTCTGGTCTGGTTCTCAAAATCACAAAACCGTTAGGATTGGTTCGGTTCTTGGATTTTCTCAGAACCGAACCAATCCGGACCGTGTACACCCCTATCATTATTATCATTTCAATTTCATAATTTCTATATCAATTCTATTTTCTTTTTACAATCTCAAGCATTCATATTTTATGGTAAAATCCTTTTCTCTTTGAAAATCAATTTCAATGTAAGAAATACCTCATTTCAACAGATATCAATCCCAATTTCATACCCACAAGCTTTTCCAAGAGACCATTTGAAAACCCCTCTTTATCATTTTGATTTCAAACCCTAGGTCTTACCAAAACAACCCAAACCACTATAATCCTTTAAAATAGCAAATAACTAAGGTAAAACTTATACAAGAGTATGGAGAATCCCTACCTCAAGCTTATGAGACAAAAGACAGAGTGAAGAAACTTCAACACCACTGAAACCCAACTTTGTTTTGATGAAAATAAAGCTCTAAGTAAGCTCTACCTTCTTCTCAAAAGGAAAAGAGTATAGAAATCAATGAATCTAGGTGTTTTAGAAGATAGAAGGTGAGTTTTAAAAAGTGAATGAAATGAAAAAGTGATGTAAAAAGTGACTTTTACGAACTGAAATACTCGCAGTCCGCTCGCGCAAGAAATAACGCTCAAGCATACAGATACAAAAGACATGACCACTCGAGCATAGGAATTGACGCTGGAGCGTCAGGACACAAGGAAAAAGGCGTCACCGCTCGAGTGCAAGAAGTTGTCGTTTAAGCGTGAAATACAAACTCCCAGCAGTTTTACAGACAAAAGGCCAACGCTGGAGCGCAAAAAAGAGCCGCTCGAGTGCAAGAAGTTTCGCTCAAATGAAGAACACTAATTTCCAGTAGTTTTGTAGACCTGCAAAAGTACTGAGAGTTCACAAAGCCCACTCGAGCGCAAGAAGTGACGCTCGAGCATCGAAACAAAATTCTAGGCAACAAGATTTTTGAAAAACAAGGTATCAATTTGTTCTAAACGTAACCAATACAACCCAAAAGCCAAACTCAAAGAGGTATAAGGGAAATAAGATATAAATGACTAACAAGGCAGTGAAACCCGGATCCAAAACATCAATGGTTCAGGTCCAAAACAGAATTGCTATAATAAATATACAACAGATAGAGACATAAAGTGTGTTTGTTAAACATATAAGATCAAATTTTTATGGCTTCTAGAGATATTTTTTTTTCCAATTACTCTCTCTTTCTCTTTCATATGTGTGTATGTGTGAATATATGTATCTTTTGTAAAGTTATTTATTTATTTATTTTTTGTTGATAATTGTTATAGAGAAGTTGTTATTGTTGTTGGTTATTGTTGAACAGATAGTGGAATGGAGTTTTTTATTTTTGTTGAACATATCTGAAACATATCTATTCAAAATTTGAACATATATATAAAAATTTGAATAGCAAAATTGAACAGATCTATAAAAATTTGAACAGATAATGAGAGAAACCCACTGATTTTAAATAGATAAAGAGAGAAATCCACAAATTTTGAATAGATAGGAAAAAAAATCAATAGATAGATATAAATTTGAACAGATAATAAAAAAATTTGAACAGATAAAAAATAATTTGAATAGATAAATATAAATTTAAACATATAAATATAAATATGAACATATAGTCAAAAAAGTCAACAGGTAAAAAAATTTAACAGATAAATTAAGGGGTAAAATTGAAAAAAAAATGTCCTTCAAAATCAACAAAATGACTTCTCACCAAATTATATCACAAAAGATGGATCTCTTATTAATAAAAAATATCTACTGAAACTAATGTCTTATCCCTACTTAGTTTAGACTTTTTACCAATTTTCTAATTTTAAAATAATGTTTTAAAAACACAATTCTAATTTGAAAACACGTAGCAAAAAATATATAATTTAAAATTGTGTAATGATCACAATACTATCATTTTTTATTATTAATAGAAAAGAAGGTAAAGTCATAAAATGATAGAATTAATACATAACTTTATTTATGAAAAAAACGTATATAGAAAATATGATTTTAAAAAAGAAAATACATGAAAAATTTTAAATAAAATAAAGGAATTTTTATTGATAAATCACATTTAGGGGTGTTCTAACCCAATAAGTTCATGAAGGAAATTTATAACCTAGTTAGTCTCACGTGTTTATACGTTTATTCCATGAGGTCCTTTTTTTCCTGATTTACATTATTTGTTGAATTATTATACTCTTATATTTATTGTTGATATATATTACAGACAAAAAGGACATATACGTTTTCTTTTTACTGTCTTTTTATTTTGGCAGTTACTATAATTTACGCTTTTGATTGTGATTAAGTTTCACTCTCGTTGTGGTGTTGCTTTGTTATGCTAGGGTTTCATTGGAGTTGGAGGAAGATGACGAATCAAAACTGTATTAGTATTGTTTGTTTGTGCCCTATTATTTTACATAATTTTGCGAAGTCAGACAGTAATCAGAGGGAGAGAACAAGTAGATAATTTCTTCTCAAGGTTAATATTATTTTGTTTAGGGATGCATATTCCTTTATTTTTGAATTTATATAAAGAATTGTATGCTCTTTTTTTTGCTTTCAATTTTATTTTTTGAAATAGATGGAGATGCAAGTTTATTTTTGTTGAATGAGGTTATGATTTTTGTCTAGTAATGCGTTCATATAGGGTTATGTTTTTTTGGATGTTGTGAATGTTCACATTGCGTGAACAATATAAATGTTCACATACTATTGGTCATATCATTATAGGGGAATGTTTGCAAGTTGTTTATTGTCATTATATTTAGTGGTATGAATTTGAACTTGTCTAATCTATAATGATGTGTAATGATGGCAATAAAGTTTTCAGTTTGGGATTAACAATGCAAAATATGGACATAGCTATATTTTTTTCAAGTTGTGAATGTTCACATATCATTGGTTATTTCATATTTATGGTATTATGTGGTTATAATGTGGGTGTTCACTTCCTTATTTTTGTATTTTTGTAGCAGATAGATACGTTCATGTATCAATGTATATATGCTTATTGGGTGGGTATTTTAGTGAATGTGAACGTTCACATTCACTGAAGTTATTATTGTTATGAATTATCATATTTTAATATTTTGCATTTTATAATGTAAATTTCAACATTAATTAGAAGCATGTAATGGTTGCATAACGTGCAATATAGAGTAATGATTGCATGGTTGTTACATAATGTGAATGTTTATATATCATTGATTATTGTATGAGTTTTGCATGATTATTACATGATGTTAATATTCATATCGTAAGGAGTCATTACTTGTTGTGAATTATTACATTGTAATGCATTGCAATTGGTGTTGTGACCATCACGTTATTCATCAATATTAATATTCACATTCAAAAATAGTCATACAAGTACAAACAACATTAATGTATTATTTTACTAACATATATTTGTAATGTAAAAGTTCACATTAACATTTATTTACCACAACTTATATTAGGCCAATTGTTATGAGTATACAAATATAAACGACCACAAACAATGCGGATATTCACATTGTCTAAACTTTGATCGATGTGAATGTTCACAGCGTTGCTCTCCATGTCAGAGTAAGACGATTTAGGATTTTGAATTTGAGATATTTTCTCTCTAGAATAAGGAAGAGATTTTTTTCATAAAATAAATGAGAGATTTTCAACAAGAATAAGGGAGAGCTTTTCTTCCTAAAATGAGGGAGAAATTTGCTCCATAAAATAATAGACTATTATTATTTTTTTTATTGTATATTGATTTCAAAATGGAAATATATTTTAAAATTTTAAAATGGTGATTTAGTCATATTACCTTAAATGAGATTTAAAAAAATAGATTAAGGCCAAGTTTGGCATCCTCCAAAAAATTTAAAAAATCAAAAAGTCACTATCATATTTAAGTCACATCATCTTGTTTAAGTCACATCACCTCTCTAACACATCATTTCAAACCCAAACCAAATCCAACCCATATTTTATAAAAAGTCAAAAAATACACTTATTTAGTCTTCCCAAACTTGGCCTAAATGAAACATAATATTTAGAAATAGGATTTTCCGAAAAATGACCTACAAATACATGAAAATAAGGATTTTTTTTAGAAGTGTAATTTGATTTAATAATAATAATAAATAAATAAAAACTCCCAAAGACCACCTTTCTCTTATCCTTTCAATACATAAAGCCGAAGGCAAAAACCACCCTTGTCCTCGCCAAAATTTACATATATTACCTTGCAGGTTCTTCCGTAAATAGCCTCAAATCCAGACCTATTTTCCGAACAGCACACTCATCATCACCTTCAGCTAAGGCCTCTTCGGTCTGCGCCAACACAGTCGACACTCTCCAATGGCCTCTTCTCCCGCGCTCCTCCACTCCGCAGCGTCGCCGTTTCACGGCCAATTCCCTGCGGTTCCAACCGTACGGTTACCGGCCACAAACCCTAGACACCGATTCGGTGGCGTTTCGGTGAAGGCCATGTCTGGGATAATCCTGGTGGAGAAGACGGAGTCAGAGAAGCTCAATCGTCTCAAGACGACCTACCTCCAAAAGATCGTCCCTCTGCTCAAAGAAGAGTTTTCTTACACCAACATTCACCAGGTAAAGCTTCTATGTATCTCTCTCTCTCTCTATATATATATATACTTGTGTGTATGTATGAATATGATTGTAATTTGTTAGTTCTCGGTGCAATTGTGGGGTTCGGTGTTGTTTTTTTGTGTGTGTTTGGCTACTGAGAAAATGTAGGAAAAGAAAAGAGATTAGAATCGCGTATATATTAAGGGGGGAGAGTGTGGGAAAGGAAAAGAAATTGGGAGTTGGATGATGAAATTATGTACTGTTCGAAACCTGAGGGCCTGTTTGATTTCCAGGGATTAACAATTCATGAAATGATTGGTTATCTAGATGTATTAGTGAGATTCACGTTTATTTTGCATTAGATATGGAAATTATATGCCTTGTTTGGTTTGTGTTTCTCAAAAAATTTTGGGAAAAATTCTCTATAAATAAGTTTTCAAAAGTAATCAAACCAAAAAATTTTCCCAAATTATTTTTTCAAAACTTGTTTGGTTTACAAGTTTTTCAAACAAATCTCTCTCTCGTACACATCAAATCAATCATTTTTTTCAAAACTCTCTCTCAAAATAATTTTTCAAAACATCTTTTGAAAAAAAACCAAACCAAACAAATTTTCATACTTTTTATCTCAAAACATATTTCTTAAATACAAACCAAACAAGCCCTAATGTTTTGCGTTATTAGTTGTAGGACTTAAAACACCGTCAATTTTGTTGAATACAGTGGCCATTGAAATATAATTTGAATAATAAAATATACTTATATTTCATCTAATTTCATACACTTTTTTCATTTTTCTTTCCAAATCCCTCGACCAAACAAGGATTACTGTTTTCCCCGCTGCCAAGCAAATTGCTTTTTTGCCCGGTTACAATTATTTTAGGGGAAACATTTTATTTGGTAAGTTTTTTAGGAGAAACATTTTATGTAGATGTTTAAATAAAATATATACTGATGTATATACTTTCTGCATCTATTTATGTGTCCATCTGGATAAGCAGACCCACAAGAGGAATATACTGTTTTCCTTTGCCTGTTGAAACTTACAAACCCTAAATTCTCTACCTCTGATGCTTCCTTGATTTAATTTTTGGATGTTACTATAATTATTCATAAATATATTAATTTTTCAGCATATGTTTAGGTTCCAAAAGTTGAGAAGATTGTGGTAAACTGTGGAATCGGAGATGCTGCACAGAATGCAAAGGGTTTGGATGCAGCAATGGGCGATTTGGCAAATATCACAGGGCAAAGGCCAGTGAAGACACGGGCAAAGAAGGCCATTGCCACCTTCAAGCTTAGAGAGGGTCAACCAATTGGGCTTGCTGTCACTCTCAGAGGAAATGTGAGCATGTTTTTCACCCTAGATGTGCATATATGTTTGGGTTCTTCTTGAATTTGTTCCCATGGTATCTTCAACTTAGGATTCAAGAATTTGTTTTTATTATTGCTTGCAATGCTCTATGTTTAGAATTAAATGTTTACAAAGTCCATTACATGAGGCTTCAATGCATAAAATTCAGCATAAACCAGATTTTCCCACCAAACGCATTGCACAATGAAATGATGTCCCATGGTGCATGCATGGTATATGACTGTAAGGTTGTCATGGATATGCCAGTAAACAAAGAATACCAACACAACATCCCATGGTATCTTCAACTTAGAATTCAAGAATTTGTTTTTATTATTGCTTGCAATGCTCTATGTTTAGAATTAAATGTTTACAGAGTCCATTACATGAGGCTTCAATGCATAAAATTCAGCATAAACCAGATTTTCCCACCAAACGCATTGCACAATGAAATGATGTCCCATGGTGCATGCATGGTATATGACTGTAAGGTTGTCATGGATATGCCAGTAAACAAAGAATACCAACACAACACTTATTTGGAGCCTGTTACTGATTGAGGTTTTCATTCTTCATCCTCAAATTGGTCTATTACTGAAAACCCATTAATCAGTCTCTTATTGAAGCCTGGTAATGTTACACATCCTTGGTCGTGACTGGTGTTGTATATTGGAATGATGCACTTTTCTTATCTGATGCACAATACATTTGAAGATGAAATGTACAAGAGTAATATTCAAGTAATGCTTAATTTATCATATAAACTCAATAAAAAAGTAAAAATTGTACCTAGTACACAAGGCCTCCTCTTACAAAAGGGTTTGGAATAGGTAGTAGGTAGGCACCTTCTGTTCACATTTTGTGGAGAGGCTGATTCTCGTTTCTCAAACTTGCACCTAAAGGCTGGGGGCGGATGTTTGATATGTTTACTCGATTCCAATGATTGAGCATTTTATCTAGGACCACACAATGCTGGGCTTGGATTTTTTGTACATGCTTGGCATAAAACGAGGGGCCCTTAGAATTCAGGCTCATTTTGTCCGTTATGAGCCTATCAGGGCATGCCTTTACTAATCTTATCTTAGTTGGCAATTGATATTGGAAATAGAAGTGAGGAAGAATAATAAACAAGGGTGCACATTGTTCTTATGCGATTGAAACGTTGATGCTTAATCTCATTTGGAAATTGGAGGGAATGGTGACATATAAGATTCTTATTATATTGGCATTCATAAACAAGGTAGGATTATGTTTTAAGAGGAGACTAAAATCAGGGATTTGGATCGAAGAATTTCTTTTTTTGGATGCAACATTTCTTGTAATCAGCTATGCCAATCTGGAGTCTATTGAATGTTTCGTAAATGCTAGCCAGTAGCCACACTACAGTAGATGCCTAAGGCTGTGATGAGCATGAGACTATGCTCATTCGATTGCACGAGTTTAGATGTCTACATTACACAAGTGAATGTTGGGGCTTGGCAATTTAAATTCATGTCATCATTTGTATAGTTAAATCAATTATATGTGTTTTTGTCCACTCATTGTTGACCAATTGCGACAGGTGATGTACTCGTTTCTTGATCGGCTCATTAATTTGGGGCTGCCTAGGACAAGGGACTTCCAAGGTGTCAACTCCAATAGCTTTGATGGGCATGGTAACTTCAGCATTGGGTTCAAGGAACAGGGTGTGTTCCCAGAGATCAGGTATGATGCACTTGGTAAGCCAAGGGGAATGGATGTTTGCATAACTACAACAGCTAAAACAGATAAAGAAGGATATAGACTACTTGCTCTCATGGGAATGCCCTTCAGAGAGGGTGGTGGTCCCTCTACTGTGGTGCGCAAGAAGAAGCTGAAGTCTCATCACTTTGATTCGAAATCAAAGACCAGGGCACGGAGATAAGTGTTTTACTTTTTTAAGGGACGAATAGTTTCTTGTACTTCGTTTCTTATTGCATTTTTTAAAATATTTATTTCAAGTTATGTTTAGATTGGAAACGACTGTTCTGTGATTAATCATTCAGTTGTTGCTATCAGTTAATGTTTTTTGGGAATGTCTACATGTGGTGTTTACTTGTGTGTGTCTATGACCATATAAATATGCATATATTTTTATACATGTATCTCTTCTTCTTTTTCTGATAAACCACCAAACCCGTTTTGTATTGAAAGCTAGCTTATTTTGATAGAACCGGCAACTTGTTTGAATCGATAGCCTTTCAAGAAAACCAATGCAGGCATTCCAACACATGTTTAATACTAGTGACAGGTGTTGATATGCGCTCTGCTTTTGAAGATTGGGTGCTTCATACAATGTTTGGGAACTAAGTTAAAGGAAACATCCAGGTGCTTTTATTCCTTGCACTTTTCCTCTCATCAGTAATTTTATGTGTCTCTAGGACAGCTAAGATAGGCATTCTGCTTATGGTTGCTGTTCAATTTTGCATGTTAGATGTGATTAATGTTAATTTTATAAATTGGGTTGATCAAATTGACCAAGAGCATTTGTGTAGTGCGAGTATGATGATAATGTTTTGTTCATTTGGTTCGAACCCAACCATAGCTCCATCCCTCGAACACCAATTTTAACATTTTTTTGTTTGCTGCACTTTTGAGTTTGATTTGTAATTTGATTGCTGGTTATGTTTGACAATAATTGCATTTCACGTGTATTATGTATTTTGAAACAAGTTTTCGTTCTTTCCTTCCTTTTTCAACTCCTCTAGCCATCACGGTTATACACCATGGGAACCACCCAAGCCACCCCATTGTTAGTGTATTATAGTGTTAGTGTAATATAGTGTAATATATAGTTGTCATATTAATGATGTTGTATCTTTATGCTTTCGGTGGGTTAGCATCCAATATACCCTATTTACTCTCTATAAATGAGAGTGTTGTAAAACACATTCAATACATCAATCATAATACATACAATTTATTCTCTCTCGATCAATTTATCTTACATGGTATCAGAGCTAGGTTAAGAACCTAGTAATTTCGTTTCACCGGCGGGCGGCAATCTCGCTTTGGCCGCCCGCCGGACAAACCCAAATTTCCTTAATTTCTTCTTTCATGGCAGATTCTTCAACAACACTTCATAGCTCGAATACAACACTCCAACAAAGATAGTCTTCTCAATACAACAAACAGACCCACTCACCAATTGCCTCACTCTTCACCTCCAATCATCGTCCCCAACAATGGGTTTCACGCACACAGGATTAATTTTGCACCCAGCAGACAGCTTTGCAATTGGACCCTCTGCCCACTGTGGGTGATAGCAACACACCAAACAGCTTGCAGCTGGTCACGCTACCCCCCTGGGTTGATCACGAGGCCGCCATTGCAACCAGCGTCGTATGCTCGATCGCAGTCGACGAGTTCTTGCTCAGAGAGCTCGATCGGTTTGCCGGTTTTGATCTTGTCCAGGCCTTCCACCGCCGCCACCGTCGAGAACGCCCAACAACTCCCACAATCCCCTTGATCTTTACTCGGAGCAACAGCACCTTTGGTCCTCCTATCACCAGACTCCGGCAACTCCTCGTCACCTCGGACGACATATCTCCGGCTTAACCCCACCTTGGACTTACCTGGACCGGGCTAATGTCATGGCTGAGAGATATCCACTATAGCTCCATCCATACAAATCGACAGATGGGTGAGTGGTGTTGCTTTGATGGGGTTGTGGCCCACCCCATGCTCATGGCCTGGCGTCATCTGCGACTCCGGCTGCGTCACCAAGCTCCACGTCCTCGGAATGGGACTCTCGCGCCGACCCTGGGTGTGTGCATCTCCCACTTGCGGCCCTGCCACTGCTTCTAGCCACGGCTCGCACCAGCTCCGACCTGCACTATTCTCGGTTTCTTTTATGATGATGGTGGGGACAGAAACAGACAAAAGAGAAAGCATCTTTCTCTATAGCCAGTGCCGTTAGTTTTGCTTTCAGCTGTGTTTTTCTTTGGTCATCAAGTGGAGAATTGGAGGGTTTTTAAATTGGTAATGGAGAAGTGGGTTTGCCCCACGTCATTGGTTGATAAGTGTGAGATACTGATGCTGTCCATGCCTTGGATAGTGGGTATTCTTCTCCCATGTGAAAAAAAAAAGAGCTTTGCTATGGTGTTGCTTATTGTAATTACGTATTTTAATTATGAGAGAGAAAAACCAACAGTAGGGGGTAGTGGAAGGTTGTGTTCAGATCATGATTCCGTGCCTACCTACCTCTCCAGAATATCACATGCTTTACTCATATACACACCACTCACATGCACCCACACTCACAGCACGCCTCTCAGCTTGTCTTCCTATAACAAATTTATCTTTATAACCCATACCCAGTCAACTTTTGCACAAACCATTATGTTCCCCACTACCTCTTTTATTTTATTTTTATTTATCACCATATTCATCATTTTATCACCATCATCATACTTTATTCGATTTCCTTCCATAACACACAAATACAAAATTCCTCAAGTGTCGCTGCATCTATTTACCTTATCATTACAGTCCTTACATTTTTCAGTTCCACATTCCCAAAAAAAAAAAATCTTTCTACTATTTTTTACCATCTCCACTCTGCGTTGAGCCGTTCCGCTCTACTTTGTCAATCCCTTTGTTTCAATCTCCAATAGGTTTCTATCTTTAAACCTATTTGAGTTTGAGGGGGGCTATTATACATATATCATGGTGAGCATGGTTATACACCATGGGAACCACCCAAGCCACCCCATGGCGCACTCCCTAAGTCGCCCCATTGGTGCACCACCAAAGCTTTTACATCGGTCCGGCATGACCCCATAAACTGTCCCGACATTGATTCCGGTTAGTTTCTACAACGGTCCAGCATGACCCCGTAAGCTGTCCCGACATTGATTCCGGTTAGCTTCTACAATGGTCCGGCATTACCCCATAAACTATCCCGACATTGATTCCGGTTAGCTTCTACAATGGTCTGGCATGACCCCATAAACAGTCCCGACATTGATTCCGGTTAGCTTCTACATCGGTCTGGCATGACCCCGTAAACTGTCCCGACATTGATTCCGGTTAGCTCCTACAACGGTCTAACACGACCATACAGTGTCTTCACCAACGGTTCTGACACGACCATACAGTGTCTCTTATCTTATTTTATTTTTCAATTTATTTGCCTGTTTTGTTACTCTCTCCAAACTCAAGTTGATTTGTGCTTATCCTCCTTGAGTTTGAGGGGGGCTGTTAGTATATTATAGTGTTAGTGTAATATAGTGTAATATATAGCTGTCATACTAATGATGTTGTATCTTTATGCTTTCGGTGGGTTAGCATCCAATGTACCCTATTTACTCTCTATAAATGAGAGTGTTGTAAAACACATTCAATACATCAATCATTATACATACAATTTATTTTCTCTCTATGAATTTATCTTACAATTATATTGTTTTAAATATTAAAATTTTATTACTGTGTATATCATTAAGTAAAAAAATTTAATAAGAATAATTAGTTTGTATAGTATTTCAACGATGCACATATTGAATTCCATGACATTGTTTAATATTGGGATTGGGATGATAAAAGTCTTAAAAGTAAGCGACAAAATTACAAAATATTTTTTTGATTTTAGTGAAATGTATAAGAATAGCGATTGGTAGCTCGAAAATAATGGCTCGAGTGTCCTGAATTCTTTGTACACCCCAATTTCTTCGTATAGCACATCTCTGTTTTTCGTTTCAAATAATAAAAAAAAAAACCAGAGAACAGAGTAGAGAGAGTGAGAGAGGAGACCCATTAGCGATTGGTAGCTGTGTTAGAGTAGAGAGAGGAATCGACTTGTGTGTCGCCGACGAGGTTGCCGATGTTTTTGTGTGTGCCGACAGGTCATCCCTCTCATTTTCCACATCTGTGTTCCCTCATCCCTCTCATTCCTCAAATCTCTCTCATCTCTGTGAAACCTTCCGATCGGTCGCTGATTACGAGAAGGAGGACGAATGACGACGAAGAAGGACGAATGAAGGCCGGAGAAAGCGATTTACAAATTTCAACAACTCCTCACCCAAAATAATTTCATGAAATGGGATCCAAATTATTTACATTATTGGTCTTCCAGCAACATATAACATGAGAAACAGAATACAACTCATGAATTTTTTTTTTCCCTTGTTTGAATATAACAAGTGTTCCTGGTAAAGAATAGTAGAAAAGAAGTAGACTACAAATGAAACTACATCACTGGAAAAAAGCATGCAAAGGAAAAGTTAAACCTGGACATTTGATAAAAGAAATTATACTGCAATCAAACAGAAAAAAAAAATTCTTGTCCTCACACTGCAAATTAATATTGTGTGTGATATTAATATATTCATCTTATTAACTTCAGTGTCTTGCAATACATATCATAAAAGATTCCAAGTAATCACCTGGATTCACCTTGAATGGCAGAGGAGCCATTCAAGCTTTGGTTTTTATCCTCAAAATGAAGTAAGAGGGTTCCAGCTGAGGCTGCAGTGAACTCAAAGCTTAGATAGCAAACAAAAGGAAAATGCAGGCGACCCCCAGTAAGGGGCGACCCCCAGCGACCCCCAGCCCACGTGGCTGTGGGTGATTGGCAAGGAAAAAAAGAAAAAAAGAAAAAAACTGGCGAATGGCGCTGTGCCACGTCACTGGGGTCGACCCCCAGTGGGGGTCTGTAGCAGTGTTGGCAAACAAAAACATGGGAGAGTGTTTTTTTGCAATCACGCTGCAGACCCCCAGTGGGGGTCACACCCCCAGTGAGGTGGCGAGCCCCCACTGGCTGAAACTCAAAAAAAAATAAAAATAAAATAAAACAGCTTTTTTTTTGTCCAATCACAGCGCGCCACCTCACTGGGGGGTCGACCCCCAATGGAGGTCCGAAGCATTTTTCGTGTTTTTTGTATCGCTTATATACAGTAGAAGAGAGGCGAGGAAAGGACAACAACAAAGAGATAAGGAGGAGAGAGAAAAAAGTGCTTTGGAGCCATTTTCGAGCCATCGCTTTTGAGCTACGAAGCAATTTTGAATGCATAATCCATTATAGAAGTGTTTGAATTCAATAAAAGTCTCGTCAT